AGAAGCGCGACGAGGGCCATCATCCACCGGGGACGGCGGAGATTTAGGACTGTCAGCCGAGCGGAGGAATAGAAGACGCGCGCGCGCGCGCGCGGTCTTACCATGGCGCGCCATTGCCGACGGTCGACGAGTTGACGGGTGTCGCGCGCTCGAGGTGTACACGGCCGAGCTGTAACGGTCGCGCGCGACACGTGTGGCTGTGTGTGTATGTGTGTGAGTGCGTGCGTGCGTGCGTGCGTGCCTGAGAGAGGAGAGAAGAGATCGGCCCTGCGCCGCCACCTCTAAGCGACAGCCCGGGGAATCGCGCGCCAGCCGAGAGAGCGAGAGAGCATCAGGGGGGAGGCGCGACGACGGATCGCGACGATGCTCGCGAATTGCTTTTATTACCGCATACACCGTTACGTAAACACACCTCGTCGAACCTCGTCGACGGCAACGTCGGGTCGTCTCTAACCACCGATCGAGGGAGCGCAGCGGAGGAGGAGGAGGGGGGGGAGGATCTCCGCCGAGCCGCTGCGGGGCGCGGCGAGGCGAGGCGCGGCGCTGCGAGACGCCAGGCGAGGGTGTGAGGCAGCGCTTGGCGCGAGCAAAGTCGCTCGCGCGAGGGAAAAGTAGCCGCGAGCAGCGACCGGGCTGCTCCATCCGGAAGAATGGTTTCTCGATATGGCGTCTCGAAGGAGGGCGCAGTGGGTGTCACCGTCGGTGCCTTAGGAGCCGTGCACTGTATTCTGCCGGGGCCGCACAGTGGCGGGCCCCATCACCACCATCTCACGGCGTCGCATCCCCAGAATCCACAGCCAGGTCACAACCACCATGTGCATCCCGGCCATCAACCACCGCCGCCGCCGTCGCCCAGTCCCCACCTCAATCAACTGACGCATCCCCAGCTTACCGTCAACATCAGCCACCTCGGCCACCATCACCACCAACACCATCAGCAGCAGCCGCAGCAGCAACAGCAGCAGCCGCCGCCGCAGCAGCAGCAGCAAACGCAAATGCCGCCCCAATACCGAGTCGCCGCGAATAGTAAGTAGCGAGGCGAGAGCGAGATCGAGACCGCGCCGGGATTTATCGCAATAATCGTCCAATTATGTTCCGACGCGGCGCTGGATATGCGCCAAACAGCTGACCGAAAGTCATCGATTTTAAATCTTTCGGAATCGCGAGGGCCATTCTTGCCCTCGACCTTGATGTCAATTTATTCCCCACGTATTGTACGTACCGTGAGAATCGGCTCCGATTACGACAAATGATTGGGTCCTCTTTTCATTGGTTAAACTTGAATTTGCCGACGAGTGTCCAACTGCACACGTGTCATTTCTTTTTGCATGCGCAGATTGACGCGCGACGACACGAAATGCCGTGCGAACGCGGCCGTTGACTTGCTCCATCGTGGACATAAAGGCCCGCGACCGACGATGGTAGCACAGTCGCTGCTCCGCTTGTTATTTCTATTTATTTTCCTGAGGACGCATACTCGCGCGATCAGTCTCCCGCAGGAGCCGTCCTCGACTCCGTCGCGCGATACCACCTGCGTCTTGTCATCGCGATCGTTGAACCTCTCCGATTTTTCTTATCGCGCCGCGACCAACACATTCGAGACGCGTTATTTTCTTCACGGTGCGTACCGGGGGTAGTTAATCTGACCCGCTGACCCGTCAAGAGTCGAATCATTCGTGTCTCTCTCTTCTCTTGGCGAGGATTAACAACTAAAGTAAACGTCGTTGAAACGTGTGCGCAAAGCTTTGATATCGATTTTCATTCCCTTGGCCTCGTGGAAGCGTCTCTAAAGGTCTGTGTCCATGATTCTAGAACTTGGTCCACAGGCTCTTTTTTTTCTCTCGAAAGATGCACTTTCGCATTCAACACAGGACTAGTAGCTAAAAACCCCTCTCTTAGGACCGACAAGTGCACAAAAGGGACTGCCTACAAAGGCATTACTTGAGGAATGGTTCACAGGCCATAAGATCAATTTGCTTTAGAATGCGACGCTTTTTCTACCGTTGTTATCATACGTTTTAGCTACACAGACAGGCTCTCTGTCGGGCAATCGAAATCGCTAGAGAGCTTTTGTATTGAGAAATCAAGTATGCGGCATTAGGAGCAAGCTATTTGGTCTTTTCAGACATACAGGCGCTTTACTTGAAACTCGAAACTGTTGCGTGGAACGGAGGAAAGACAATTCCGGGCGTGTGGGCGCCGACGCGATGGAAATGGAGATTTATTCCAGGATTTTTTTTTTTATATTTTACGAAACAGCGCGGGCGGGCGTTTTTCCTGCTATGCGGATATCGATATATCGGGGTGGCTTGCTATTTAGGTTAGTTCTTAGCGCCCCTGGACGGCGCTTTAGACAATTCACGATATAGGTCAATCGATAAAACGCTTTCCACCTTGTGCCGTCGTGAAGGTGCACGTTCGATCCTTTCCCTTGGCGCGTTACGTCCTGTTCCATCTCAACCTTCTCTCTTTCTCTCTCTCCTCTCGTGGAGGCACGGCCGCTAGAAGATGCCCCGCGATAAGCCGGGAAACGTAATTCAGACCTTTCGACAAGTTATCCTCAAACTCGCGTTATCAGCGGCGCGCGACAATTCCTCCGAGATTACGCCAAGAAAATTTCTCCCTCGAAAAGCGCCGATGTACGCCGATCGCGGTGAGACCTCTCGGAAAAGGCGCGAAGCATTCTGGAGGAATTAACGATCGAGATACACTGGCACGAGTATGATTAATGACGCAGAGACACGGCGAATAATATAGCGCGTCTATCCTTGACAAATCGCGACCTAGAGCGGCGCGAGCTTCCGCCTCGCGACCGTTGATCGTTGGCGAGGTCCGACGACGGGCCGAGTCCCGACTCCCGCGTGGAAGCGCGGAAGAGTGTGCCGCGTTTCCACGGGCGATCCTCTCGTTTCGCCGATAATATCGAGCGCGATGCCGCGCGCGCGCCACGTGGCTCCCCGAGCGGCGAGGTTAACCCTAACCTAACCTAACCCTCCTCGCGGCCTCCAACGGTTCTCTCTCTCTCTCTCTCGACGAGCGTCCCGTATTCGTGCAGTGCCGTAGCGCTTCCGATCGGCGCGTTTAAGGCTCGTTAACGTTGCCCGGAGTCAAAGTCTATTGGGAAATGGTGCGCGGCGCACCGTGCATCGAACGCGGCGTGACGCGGCGCATCATTCAGCGCCGAGGGGGACGTACGATCAGGCGGGGAGTGGGGGGGAGAGTGAGACTTGCATACGTCATTCATCGCCGGAAATGACGAAGGGGGATCAGGCGCGGCGCTCTGTGTTCCCGAACGCGCGCTCCCCAGGCTCCCTCTCCTCTTGCTCGCAATTTTCCGGCATTTTCCGCGCGACGACGCGAGAGAAACGCGTTGCGGCACACTCGAAAGTTGGTCCTCTGGCGTGAAACTCTCGGAGGAGCTGGCCAAAGTACGTGGGGAAGCGCGGGCCCGCTCCTGGACGGCCACGAGCCGCGAATCGATGCCACCGCGGAGCCACAGATGGCAGCGCTGCGCCCCCGGCCCCTGCCCACATGTGCAAAGATGGCTGTCCGCGAGGTCGGGTCGTCGCTGCGTTTGCCCACGTTCGAGTCTCGTTGTCGCGCACGCAGAGTAGTCGCGCTCTCGTAACGAGTACGCGCCGTCGCCCGGAGAATCGGCTCGCGAGGAGAGCAGAGCGGATCTGCGCAGAGCGGACCATCTCTCGCAACGGTGAGCAACGATCCGTGGAACGAGCGATCCCATATCTCTCTCCGACTCGGAACCATCGGTTTTCCCCTGCCTCCGCGCGCGCCTTTCGTTTAACGCGAAAGAAAGAAAATGGGCCGACATCCGGCCGCCTCGACGGACCCCCCCGGCGGGATCGTTTCACCTGACGCCTGGCGATCGACGGGGAACGTGTTGACGTCGACGTTTTCGTGCAACCGCGCGCGTCTCACGTATTCCGTCTTGCGCCAGTAATTACCAAGTGCCTACGACGTGGCGGGACGGAGGGCGTCAGGCGCCGTTATCGAGATTTCAACGCGACGTCTTTCGGACGCTCGTCCGTACCCTACTTATCTATGCTGCGTAAGCTCGTGTCATCGACGCGCAGTTTCTCCTTACCTCCCAACAACTCCAATACTTTTCTCTCGAATCGAGCGACGCGTCTTGCTCCCCTTTCTTTTTCTTTCGCACAAATTTTCATTACATTTTTTCCCCCACTTGTACGACACGTATGTATTTTTATTCATCCCCACGAGATTGGAGGAAAGTCCCCTATTATGAGACAGGTTTGTAATATGAGATAGCGGATTTTTCAACGCGCAGATTCAATCGCAAATCCCTTTTCGCCCACGATTACGTAATCTAAACAGAGCCTTCGCTTCAACAGCAATAAATTGATGTTTATTAATGTGGTAGAAAGCCCGCTATCTCTTATTAGAAGCCTGTTTCATAATAGGAGACTTTCCTCCGACAAGCACCGCTACGTATTGGATATATTTTACGCATTCTTGTTATTGTCGATTTTTAGCAGAATAACCCAGGGCCCGTCGCGTCTAGACGCAACGAGATTAATTGATCTAAACATAGTACGACTTATTTCGGTTTCCGGTGTACGCGTCTCGCACAGATGGTCCAAGTGACAACAAGGAGTAATGCTTAGACGGAAGAAACGAATGCAAATGAGACGAGAAAAGCGACCTGTATTTTCAGTGTCGTTTTCTGCGTCTCATTCTATATTTTATGCATACAAAGAACAAGATTGATTTACAAATTTGTTGCATATTTTATATTTGGAAAGTTGAGGGCGGTGCAACTGTTAGGATACCACAAGATACACATGTCGGAGTAAAAAAGAAAGAATGGACAAGGTATAGAAATTTCCCGCAGAGTTTTTCGCAAGTACAACCCTTAATCGTATCGTGAAACGTGTGCAAACATGGATAGCGAGAGCTCACGTGAATGGTTGAACTCGGGTTGGGATCGGGACACGTTGAGTAAGTTGTGAACTTTGTTTCAGGATCGGAGTTTCATGGAAACTACAGCACCCAACCAGGGGGCCAGGTGGGCGGAAGCGCCGCGAGTAATGTAGGAGTACCCACGGGTAGAGGGCCTCCGCCGCTCGGCGGTATACAAACTATAGGGCAATCCGCAGCAGGTATACCGCCAGGAGGTCCCGCCGGAGGACAAGCATCCTCGCAGGCCCCGACACCGGGAGTGCAGTCGCAGCCGCCTCAAGGTCCAGCGCCTACTACGACACCACCTGTGCACACACCGTCGCCTCAGGAAATGGGGAAACAGGCCCACTTGCAGACGCAGCCGCCGTCTTTACCGCAAGTCTACGTACCGACGCAAAACAGATCGGCGTCTCAAGTACGTACTTTTCCTTCCTCTCCTTCCTGTAGAGCGGGGCAGTGTTTGAAAACGTGTTACGTTATACAGGGCTACTATCAAACGGGTCCAAGGCCACAGCAGTCGCGAGGTATCGGTCACAGAGGTGGCCAAGGTGCCAGTGGAACACAAGTGGTCGGGATGGCCGGGGTAGGTGGAGGCGGAGGGCAACCGCCTGCCATGTATCCTCATCCGCCTAGTTTGCAGAGTATACAGGCGGGTGCAATGTATTTAAGTCAAGGTCAAGTCCATGGTCTTCACACGGGGCATCAGCAGTCGGTGTATCCCATAAACAATCAAATACCGCTTCAGGTAGATTGATATTTCCATATTTAATTATTATCCATATTATTATCTCTCCAACAAACTTGACGTTTGAATTTTCCAGTTCTCTGGTCCACCTCACCAAAGGCACCAGCCTCAAAGTCAACCGTATTATCCACAATTTCAGCCTACTCCAATCATAACGCCGCCAAATGTGTTCGGATACGCTCCCGCGCCCAACCCCCAGCATGGCTGTGAGTTTTCCAACTCGAATAGTTTCACGAGATATTCGTACATGTATCGTGAACCTATGACTTTGTCGGCAGATTATTACACAACGTCAAACACGATCGGTTTGACTAGGGCGAGTACAAATGCGGTCAGTGGTGGAGCGCAACATGTCGCAGGCCCACTGGCCGGTACTCAAGGTGCTCCAGTTATACCGCAAGGTACAATTCAGCAACCTACTCAACAAGCCCAACCTCTGCCTACGCTGGGTATACCTCTGCCGCAAACTGGTACGGTTGCCTTTCACACCTTACCTTTCCGAGCCAAGTTTCTTGCGCGAAACGCCATTTTTTTTTCTAATCCGTCGACATGTTTTACATTACAGATGTATACTCGGGACACAACGGTGGTGCGACAAATACCGTCAGCACCACTAGGTCTCGGAAACCTCGAGGGCAGAATGCCATTTTGGACATAGTAGATCCGCAAACGGGCAAAAATATAAGCGACGAAATTTATAAGGATAACGAAGCTACGCAGAGTGGCGAATCTAGCAATCGCGAGACGCCACAGCCACAGGTGAGCTACGTCGAAATGTATCGACAATTGGCTAAGAGACTTGTACTCTCGTAGCCGATTGTTGATGTATTGTATATCTGTATACCCACACGAGCCATGACGATCCCCTCTCTCTCTAGCGGATTGTGAAAAGATTATTGGATTAGATTAGTTGGAAGCGAGAGGATTGAATGGCTGGAGGGTGACAGATTTGTTAAGTCTTGAATATTTCTTTCGTTCGCCCAAGTGCTTTTCTTTTCATTTCTCTCGCCCTATGATTTGAGTTTGGAGGAAAATTTTAGTTGTCAAGCGTAATGCCTCAACGACTAGCACGTGCCACTGTCTATCACGCAGATTTGGTGATTGTTACAGAATAATGGTGCGGAGGTGATAGCTGATTTCGCGGCTCGCGTCGCCAAGGCCGCGACGGAGGGATCCGACACAGTGTCGACGAGCGCGTCCGATACGGCGCCTAATACGATACAAGCAGCGGCGCAAACGTCGAACATTAAAAGCAATTCCGCTAATGACGCGGAAAGTCAGTGTAGCAGTAGTCCGTCAATGACGAAAAGTATAGCTGGCGCTGGCGCTAGCAAAACGGTACCTACGATAAGTAGTCAATCGTTAGGTACTAGTAGTAACGCGACGCAAATAGACTCGAGCGCGGCGAAAACGGAGTCGAAAGCGTTGCAACTCCCCGTCAAGGAGTTCCAGCCGAGGAGTGAAGTGAAAAGCGTGACGATCGAGGAATCGCCACCCGTCACACCCTCGGTGGTGGTAGCAGCCGTCGCGAATAAAGATACCGTTTCCGTGCAGCTTACCGCGCCGACTGCTAATAGCGAAACAACGGCTGTGACAGCGACGGTGACGGCCGAGACCGAATCCGAGTCCGTCGGGGTTACTGGCGCTGGAGTTGCAGCCGTAGTTGGAGCCGGAGCCGGAGCCGGGGCCGGGGCCGGGGCCGGAGCCGGGGTTGGGCCCGAGGCCACCAAGCACCTCAACGCCTCGTCCAACGTAGTACAGACTGCACCAGTTACTTCCTATTGGAGTAACGTTACCCAGGAAATCCCGAAACCGTCCGTCACTGCCTCGAGCGTCAATCCCGTTCCTAATAGGGAGCCATTCCCTAATCTATCCAAGACTTTGTCGAACTCGCCGCCGAGGAGGAAACCCAACGCCACCGAGCTGCCTTCCAATACCAAAGAGCAAAAGGAGAGGAAAACGCGGGAGAAGAGCCTCGGCTCGCGGGGCGCCACTCCTACGCCCGTTCACAATCAGCCGGCGGATCACCATCACCAGAAGACCAACGGCGACGCGGCCGGCGACAAGACGGAGGCTGAGCTGGTGCATCCGAGAAACGAGATACAGCAGAAACCGTCGGACGGTGAGTAGAGCGTCTCCTCCATTTCGACTTTCAACTTACTCGGTTCAACTGCAATCTCTCCGTACACAGATAGCGATATGCGCGAGCTCTTAAACGATAAGATACCTATTATTTATCGGAAATTTGCAAAGACGCTCATTATTATGCGCGAGCGCGGCCTTGAACGAGTTTACTCGAAACTTGTACCGTCAACGCTCCTCTCTCTTTTCTTCTCACCGATACACGCGCGATACTTGTCCGAGATATATCGATCATAAGTGAGCGTTATCATTGGCTGGCAAGACACGCGATGCAATTCCAAGAGAATGTTCTCGGCGACTACTTTGCGCCGAGATTACGCATGCGTTTTCGGTTCGCTCGAGTCGTAACGAGGCCTCGTCAGTTCCGAAATGGACACGTTGCCTGAAAAATGCCGCGAAACTTTCCCGCGCGCGCGCGCGCATAACCGTCGGCGTCGGTCGATCCCGGCGTCTGACTGAAGAGGGCACCCTCCAAAACCCTAACCTAACGCAACCTAACTTGATCTAACCTAAAAGCCACGAGGAGGATCAGAGCGTGCTGTTGCGAGCCAGGTGGATGTGTGGAGCGCTGTTTCGATATAGCCGCCGCGTGCGTCTCTGCTAACGAGTGAATTCAACGTCGAGACTGGCGCGAGGGTTGCGCATCAATTTACAGGACGCGGGTTTCTTTTTATTATTTTAAACCCATCGCGGCTCCTGGCTCGAGACAAGAGCGCAACGCCGCTTCCGCCGCGTCGTTACCTCGCACGTGTTCCGTTCTTTTATTATTTGAATCTTTCCTTGTGAAATTGTCAATCTTACGTTCGATTTGATTTTCCAACAAGTTTTTTTATAAACGCGACAGTTTCGTTATTCGGAGCATCGTTGGATTTTTAGTGCGTGACTTGAACAGTGTGAATGTTTATTTATACGTAGAGTTGTTTCTATTGCGGACATTGGTAAACTCCTACTCCAGTTTGGTGTAACAAAGCGGTCGCGAGATGAAAAAGGGTAAGATACAGTGTTCGTTATCTCTCTGTCTCTCTCTCTCGTTTTTTTTGGGGGTGGGGGAGGGACTCGTAGGTGCTCGACAACGTGGGAACGTTTGCGCTCTATCTTGAATTTGCGACAGCGGTGTAATTTGACAATTTCTCTCGCGGCGAGAAGGATGCTCGTTGTCGAGTCCCGGCAGAACAATCGATACAGCCGTCCATTTTTCTTCCCTTCGTCCTAGTTTGCTCTTGAAAGACCGTCGTCGGCGTCTCGCGTCTAAACAATTGGAATTCTCTCGATGACCGTTACGGACGACGAAGGTCCCGTAAAGTTCCCTCGTCTATTTTCTGCGCTACGATAGGATCGCGCGCGGTCGGCCAGGTAACTTGGTGAGGACGGGAGAGGCGGGCGAGGCGCGAATCGGAGCGGAGCCGAGTCGAGCCGAGTCGAGTCGAGGCGAGAGTGTCGAGACCAAGGCGGACGGTGACGCGATCGCGCGAACATGGCCGACGGGCCACGATGACGAACGAAGCTCCGCCGCCGCCGCCGCCGCCGCCGCCGCCGTCGTCGTCGTCGGCGGCGGCGGCGGCGGCGGCGGCGGCGGCGGATTAACCGGTGAACCGGCGCTGGAAGGAACGGGAGAAGAAAGGAGGAGGGAGGAAGTCCTCCATCGTCGCCGAGGGGACCGGACGGCCTTCAGTAGCCAGCACGTGCTGCGCTAGCCGGTCGCATTTTACACCGCTCTCTTCTCCCAATTCTGTCCCTTCCTCTCTCTCTCTCTCTTTTTTTTAATACTTTTTACCCCTTTTATTTAATTTTTTTGAGGAAAAAGATCCGTTTTATCCCACCCTCGAAACAGCACTCGAAAGATCTCGACTCGAATTCCAACCTTTAATCCCCTTTTCCTTGGTCCTCCCCGTAACTCGCGCGCATACCTTATGCATCGCTTTACCGCTCAGGCAACGAATACGCTTATTATATCGTTTCTCCGCGCTGTGTTCCTACAGTCTGTACATTGCAACGCAACGACCTTGGCGCGATAATTGTAGATATATTTTTTTATCGAATTGCGACGAGCGCCCTATACACGCATCGTTTTTTATCCGAAAATCCTTTTCCCCCTTTTCCCCTCCGTACAATCCATCTGTCTCGTTCGTCGAGGATAGAGCTCGGGTCTCGAGGAATGAGAAGCTTCGGTCTAGTGAAAAGTTGGTGTCGCGTGTTCCAAGAGGCGAGACAGTCAAGTGCGAAGGGAGCAGAGAGAGAGAGAGCCCTACGTCGAGGGATGTACGTATCACGCGAGAGTTCGGCTTCTCCTCGGCATCTCCTCGCGGCAACGTGATCGAAGATGTCGGTACCTTGGTGACAACGTGGTTTCCGACATCTTGTAGTCAGCGTGGCGCGGCGGGGTGAGACGAGGCGAGGCGAGGCGAGCCGAGCCGAGCCAAAGGCGAGGCTTGTAGCTAGGCGCGGGCCGAGCGAGAGGAGAGGAGACGAAAGGCGGGGCGCGCGTGCACTCGCGGCTTACTTATCTTATTTGTTTCATTAGATTTGTAAATTGCACGCGCGCGCCAGCCGTACGCGGCGGGGTCTCGCTTCGATAACGTCGGGACGCGACGACGTTGAGGGGCACCGGATTCGCGCGGAGGAAGGCGACCGCTCAAATATGGCCACCGAAATCCGCGCGGCACGCACGCACGCACGCACGCTCGCTCCCGATTTTTCTTCCCTCCCGCCTCGTTATCTCGAAAAATTTGATATCGCGCGCGTACCCGGCGATCGTCGCGACGTCATTCGATGCTCCCTTTTTTTTCTTTCTTTAGCACGTGGACGCGTTCTAAATATGCTCGTCGACTCGGTCCTCGCGCGTCGATCCACGGCATCGTGGGTCTGGCCTTGCAAAGACGTCGCGCACGCGGTGGCGCGTGGCCATTTTGTGAAATGACGGAAAGAGAATGCGCGCAGCACCATATTGGTTCTCGCCGTTCCCGATGGATCGACCTTCGCAAAACTATTCTCTCGTTCTCCGATCGTCGGAGCCGTCGAGTGTTTACGAATTGCCGCGACGTCGCGCTCGTCGACCTTGAGCTCGTCTTGTTTAACGAGCGTCGAAATAATCGGTTGGAATGATTTGCAAACGGAAGGAGATCCGTATCGGCGTATCGAAATGATGGCGCGCGATCGTTCGGACTTTAGTCGGCGCGAAATAGTAATGTAAGCGCGCGAAAGGTCAGTGGGTCGTTTCGGTGACAGACTCGCGGGGCGATACGCGAGGAAAATGGCACGTGCGAGTGCGTGTCGGCGCCGTCCTTTTCGGCTAAAGGCCGTTTCACAAGAGACTCTCGGCGGGGCAACCTTGAGCCGTCCCGGCGGCGGATCGGGTGAAAGTCTTCCGCGGCTCGAGAAAAGTCTGCGCGCGTAACCTCGGGGAAAGGGACGCGCGCGAGCGCGCTCTGCACTTTGGAGCACGAGGCGAACTTGCGGCTGGTAGATAAGGAACAGATAATTTTTATTTGCCGCAAAGAAAATTGGGGCTCGTTGCGATTTCAACATGCATCTCCCTCGGAGCGGAGCCGTCTAATTATATCGTCTCTCTGTCCAACTGGGAAAACGCGCTATTCTCTCGTTGCGTCGAGAAGAATCTGTCAACATTTCTCGCGAGAGGGAGAGAGAGAGAGAGACGCGATCCACGACCTGCTTGTGTAAAACGCGACTCCAACCTACTTTCGTGCATCGAGTATCGAATTGGAGATGATGAGCGTGCGCTCGTGCACGGTGAATTTTGCTGCGCGAATTTCGATCGGGTTGAAATTGCCCCGAGTGCGCGTGCTCCGACGCGCGCGAGAACCGACCGAACGGAACTAATTTAAGAAATGCTGTGTCGGTTTGCGCCAGTTCACAGGTTAAAATAGATGCGTGAAAGTCGTCGGGCGCCGCGGCCGGCCAGGCCCGAGGCTTTTCCGAAGTGTCTTTCAGTCGGGGACGATCGTTCGGGCTCGCCCGGACGGCTCTCGTCGCGGAATCGAAATCGAAATCCACAGTCGCGCGAGTTGGACTCCCGGAGCGGACAGGGTCGCCTCGTCGCGCCGATGAGCTTGTCGAGGATGCGATTCTACCCCTCGCCGTTGTTGCGCACCGTTGCGTTTACGTGTCGCATCTACGCCGCGTTTGGCAGGGATTTGGCAGGTTTATAAATAAATACTGAATCAGTGCCGCGCCGCGCGCGCACACGCCCGTCGGAAACTCGAGCCCTCGAAAGATGTGAGTTGCACGTGCGCGCGCGCGCGGACACACGTGAAACATGGGCGACCGAGGAACGGGCGACGGCGGCGATGGCGGCAGCCGTGCCAGAAGCGGCACGAGGTCCAAAAGCCGTAATCGACGGGGATCCCGAGATCACGGTACGCGCGGAACGCTATTACGGAAGTAGTTTTGCCACTTGGCACGCGTTCGTCGAGAATCTTGTCCGTTGAACAAGAGCGAGTGCTCCTTCCTCTCACGCGCGTTTAGGATGCGTTGACATTTGTGACAGAGTAATCGGACGATAATATATATATATATATATATATGTTTCTATTTGAAATGCGTAATTCGTTGATCTCACCAACACGCTTATCTTTCCATTCCCCAGGTAAAGCTATGCAAAAGCAAAAGAGCAAAAAATTGAAACGCGAACTGAATCGCAAGGGCGCGGAGAAGGAAGGCACGGATATGGATGCCTTTGTAAATACCGTATCAGCGGCCAAGACAGCGGAGATGAAGCAAGACAACAAGGAGCACGCCCCTCCCGCCCCGAAAGACAGTAACAAGGAGCCTAGCAGAGAGATGAGCAAGGATATCAAGGAGAAAGATAATTACGAGTCGAAGAAGGAGAAGGAGATTATGCCCGTTCACGCGAAAACCGAGAAACACGCGCTGTCCACGACGGAGGTGTCCAAGCCCGACAGCGCTCCCGCCCAACAAGCGTCTCACGTTGTAGACAAAGCCCCGAGCAGCAAGGAATCTTCGGTCAAGTCCGAGGATAGTGCGTTTAATGCACTTGCCGTGCCATCTCCCAATGACGTCGTCGATCACGCGGCAGTTATCGAGGAGATGCACTTGGAAGCCTTGGTCGCGCAGAAAAATGAAGAGAACTTCAAGGTGTCGGCGTTGCACGCGTCCAACGACGAAAAGCCGACGACGGTGATTACGGAGAAGAAGCCAGAAGAAGCGCTCGACGTCTCCAGCGGTAGCGGCGCCGATGCCCCGGCCGAAGTCGCCGCACCTGTCGTCAACAAGGCTCCGTTACTCAAGTACAAGTACTTGGAGGGCCAGTGGAGTCCGCTCAACATGACCGGTAGGAAGTCCTACGATCGGGACTTTCTATTACGTTTACAATTTGATCCCAACAGCAAACTCAAGCCGACTAATCTACCAAATTTACAAGCGGTTTTGAAAGACAGCTTGCAGGTATGTTGCCAAACCACCTTGCTCCCTCTCACCTCCATCTTTACTCCATTTATTTACATCTGCCTCCAACTTTTCTTAGAATGCGCATAATCCTATGGATTTGAGGGCTTTCAAGGATGTTAATATTACTAGGCATGATTCGTTAATGCCAGGATTTGCAAAGACAAACATGAGTACGCGTCCGGTAAGTAGAATTCAAGTAAAAACTCGATCTCTTTCAAATTCCTCTATTCAAACCACTTGGCTTTGATATCCGATATCGATAAGGCACGTCTTGTTTTACAGCCACCGACGACCCGTAAGAGTGAACGGGGCAAACCAAAACCGAGTAATAAAAATGTCATTCACGTTTCACTGTCGTTGAGAGAAGACGTGAAACTGAGAGAAACAGAAAACGCATGGAAACCGACGAGAATGACGCAGTCTAAAATCTCTGAGGAGGAAGCGAAATCGCAAGACCTTTATAGGCGAGTACGAAGCGTATTGAACAAACTCACTCCGCAAAAGTTCAACACGTTAGTTGATCAGGTCCGAAGCTTGGCGATCGATACGCAAGAACGTCTGCAAGGAGTTATTAATCTGGTCTTTGAAAAAGCCGTCGACGAACCTAGCTTCTCGGTCGAATACGCCTTGTTGTGCAAAGACCTGGCCACGATGGAAGTCGCCGCTACTGAACCTCAGGATAGTATGATTAGCTTTAAGAAGCTTATCATTACGCGTTGCCAAAAAGAATTCGAAAAGAGTCCAGTTGATGATGTCATGAGAAACCGAAAGATCAAAGAAATTGACGAGTGTAATGACCCGGTAAGCACATCTTTTCTTAAGCTCACTGATATTTTTCTTTCCCCGGTATACAATATTTTACTTTCATATCGAATTATTTTTTTCTCCTCCATATTAGGAGAAAAAGAAAGAACTTCAGTTGGCGCTCGAGGAGGAGGAACGTAGGATACGAATTAAGTCTGTAGGAAATATTAGGTGAGTATCTTGTATTCGCATCTCGAGATGGTCATTTACCATTTCTTCAAGGATCGCTTCAATTCGATCGCTTTACCTAGCTCTATGACAATATATTTACTATTTTCCTCCATGTGAAATACAACATTCTCAAACATATCTCATTCATTTAGATTCATCGGTGAATTGTACAAACAGCAGATTTTGACTACGAAAATCATGCACCGATGTATTCGTCATCTATTGGAACAAAATGACGAAGATAATCTCGAATGTCTGTGCAAACTAATGACTACGATTGGAAAGGATTTGGCATTGAAAGGACCTGCTGAGGTAAAACTATATTATTCACTTGCAATTTTCTGCAAAATGTCGTATATTGCAAGTATTTCTTAACAATTTGCCGATAATTATAGCTATTCATTTCTTGTTTCTTCCTTCCTGTTATAGGAGATGCAGGACTACTTCAATAAGATGCACGAGATTGTTTCACGAAAAGGCCAGAGTAAAATTAGTTCTAGAATTCGTTTCATGCTTCAAGATGTTATCGACTTGAGAGAAAATAGATGGATTCCGAGAAGAAACGAGAACAATCCTAAGACAATTGACCAAATTCAAAAGGAAGCGGAATCCGAAAGACTGGACATGCAAGTGAATAGCGCTCCGTTGAGTGCCGCACGAAAAGACGATCGTAATAACGACAGAAAAAGAAATCGTGGACTGGGCGGTCCTACTGACGATGGTTGGAGTACACCAGTAGGAAGGGTGAGACCCGCGATGTATTCAGTGGAAACAGCAAAATTAAAGAATAAACCGGTTAGTTATCTGGGCCTTTCTTATATTCTCAAATTCTGAAACCCCCTACAAAGTGTATTACGCATGCGCATCTTTTTTAACATTATACGTTTACGTGTATTCGTACTTCAATTTATAGAACAATAAGATAAAAAGCGATTGACACGTACGTTCCGAAGCTACAGCAACATAATCTTTTTTTTCCTATTGTAAACTTTATGCAACGCATGCACACAGAAATAAATTTAATTCTTTCCAAATTATGGACACGTAAATACGTTCAGTAAATGGAATATCATGAGCAATACGAGGCTTTTACATGTCACGACGTATTCGTTCGTTAACGATGAACAACTTCAACAAGAATGTAACGCATTTAATAAACAATGTAATTACTCATTTAGTAAATGTCACTTTTTAATTTTAACTGTATTTTTATCCAGTCTTAATATTCGAAATGCGATCTAATTTGAGAGATTGTGAGAAACCATGTCTAAAAAAGCCTTTAGTGTTGAAGCACGTTACAGACAATACAGAATACTTGGCGCATGTATAATTTATTTGTAACTAGTGTTTAACAGATGGGATTTAAATCAGTCTCTTTGAAATTTGTGCGTAAATTAAAAATTAAAAAAATTAATTTCATGGACTAATCTGAACATGAAACAATCAGCATTAGCTATTTTTAAGAGTGAAACTTGTTTCGTAAATCTGACTGTAATTTGTTTCGATAGCCACCGATGGACGACATGCAACTCGGCAATAGGGCGTCTTACTTGTGGCGGGCTACTAACCCGTCAAATACCTCTAAGACGATAAGTTTGAACAAATTTGCGTGCTTAGAGAATATGTCCAACCTAGACCAGGACAAGAGGATGGCGCCCTTACCGCTCTCTGGGTAAGTTGATTTTTTCATTATATTGGTTGGGATTTTTGCCATGGTTATCCCTATCTAATTTCACGTTTTATCATGATGATACACAACTACAGACTAGAGTTTCTGAATCTTCTAAAACTTTCATGATTTCACACATACATTCTGAGACGTTAGAAATTTCATATTATCGTTTCGAAGGATGTCGACAAATGCCTATATATTTTTATCTCTTATTTTAGATCACGATCAACCGGTCCAAGGGAGTGCAGCCGGGATTACAAGTCCTATGGTATGTTTTCTTATTTGTACTGATAATTAACAGTGTAAGTTACAGATGTAACCTACACGGTAATAACGTATTGTTACACTTTTTTTGCAAGAAATAATTTTCACATGAGAAATGTTGATTTGTTTTTACAGACGGTAGGAGCTCCCGTAACGGCACTCATCAGTCGGGCAGTGCATCGAGCAGGGAGAGTCATCCGTTGCTGGATAACTCTCAAAGCCGCAGCGTTTCGATGCTTCCGCCCGTATTGAAGTCTGCCTCCCAGTCTGGGGCTATAAGCCACAAGGCTCCGATGTCGGAGCAAGAATTTACCAAGGCTTATAACTCCATACTGAAACACTACTTGGAGGAGCCGATTGTTGAAGTAAGTTTTCGAAAATTTCACAGTCCATCATTTATTCTCCCCGAGTTACCTTTTTTATTCATAATTATCAAACTGTTGTCTTAATCAGCTCTTTATAAAACCCAAATGGGATTTAGGATGACAGTTGGGATCGAACCCACGATTTGTTGATTACGAGTCAACCGCTCTCGTACACAACCACAGAACATCCTATAAAGTTTAATATTGTATGCATAATAACTACTGTGTGATATTGTACACACACACACATCGCAATACATATTTTCGTTTGCGAGATCTTTTCAATCTACTAACGCACGCTTCTTAAGTCCATCTCTGGTATAATAGGAGATGCTTGGGTCATTGGCGTGCAATAATAGGCAATACCTTCTTTTTAGTTCCGTGTGATGGTATTAATATTACACTATACTATTCACACAAATTAAAAAGAGGACATTTACAAAAAAAAGATTATTTTAGACTGTTCTGGACATTAAATTCATTATTGTTAACGCGTCTTTATTTTTCTTTGCAGAATACGGGATTAGAAATTCAACAGAAATTTGATAATGCAACATTTGCCAAACTTACACGCGAGTGCATTAATCACGTTCTTGAGAAGTCGCCTGTCGAACGAGAACTAGTTTCGAAGCTGTTGTCTCATTTGCTTAAGCAAACTATTCTACCTGTGGAGTGTTTCAAGAATGGGTAAGTTGTTCGTTTATAGAGCACGTTATCGCAAGTAGTAGTTGTAATATATATGAATTTATGATGAAAATCTTGATACAGAGTAAAGGTACTTGAAAAAAATATCTTTGTGTTACGAACGCCAAAAGGATACTGATGTTATTTGCATAAATTTAAATCTTGTAACACCGAGCTGTCTCACCAAAACTGTTGCAAATACAAGGGAATTTTGTTTCAGATTGGGAGAAGTACTGGAAATAGTAGATGATTTGGTTATCGATATACCAAAAATTTGGACTTACTTAGCCGAAATACTGTGTAAGTAACACACGCGTATCTTCTTACTGCGGGTTAGCCGCAAAAGATATTAAGATAGAGATAAAGATTTCTTTTTCGTGATGACGATTACATTTTACACCATAGAAAAATTCCGTGCGGGTGCTATAGCTCAACAGGCCTGAAGAAATAATATAATAATTTATTCGTCCTGCTTATCTGAAATTGTTTCACACTCGTGACAATCTGTGTTGCAGCACATTCGATAGAGGACGGAGCTATCTTATTATCCGAATTGAAGAGTATATGTTTAAGTTTGAGAAGGCAAGGCTTTGTAGGTAAATTCCTTGGAGAACTTATGACAAAAGTATCTCGTAACAAAGGGCCTAAATGGCTTGCCGATAAATGGGACCAAAGTGGACTTCAACTGAGTAACTTAATTGATCCAGAACGAGAGAATGTCGATAAAATCATTCAAGAATACGTAAGTTTTCCTCGATGATCGTATTACATCACCACCACCCTCCCTTCAAAGAACGTTATATCTCGGCTTGTCCATGTTATTACTGCCAATTATTTATAAGAATTGAATAGCTTATAGATAAAATGGACGAAAGACTTGACATTATCTCCGTTATTTTAATCTAGTAAATGACTTTAATGCAAATCTTTGTCGTCAAGATTCGCTATATATGAATTTAATGAGTAACATATGTTTGAAAAAATTATGTGTGAATCTTCCTTTTTTTTTAATTATTATGTAGAAACTGGAAAATTTAGAAATTTACTTGTTCGCATCAAAACAGCATATTTAGTAGAGTTTCTGAAAACAATGTTAATAATACTGCAATAAATTTGATTAAAAGTTGTCAAAGATTAGCAACCATTTATATCTGCATAAATCTTGCTGGCGTGATTCTCTTTTTCTCGATGTAATTTGTTTTGAGTTTTATATTAGAAGTAACCTTTAAATAATACTATAGTTTGATGCATATCCTTTGTTTGCGACTCAAACGACTACCCTTTACTGTTAAACCTCTCCTCTCTCTTTCAAATTATCTCACTACTGTCTCTCTTATGCTAAATCCAGATCTTGTTCTGAAAGTAAAACAGTAACCTTTTCAGTTTTATTATGTGTATATTTATTAGTTCTGTTGTTTTTATGTTTAGAATTTGGAGTTTTTAACTGGTGATTACAATAGTGCCAAAGACTCCGCTGCTACTGAGCAACTCTCATTAGAGAAAATTCAAGAAAATCTTACGAGGCTCATGAAAGAAAATACTTCCTTCGATGAAATTTGCAGTTGGATAACTGTAAGTATAACATATAATTGACACACATGTTCTTTGTTATTTATATCGATAGTTTTCTCACAATCACCTTATTGTTTCAGGCAAATGTTGGTAGTAGAGAGAAGGATCCCACGTTTATAAGACATCTTATGAATGCCATCTTAGAAACTACGTTAGGTATGTATCATAGCATGTTATTTTTTGAAATATTTGAAAATCAACATTTTTCTGATCTTGTAATAAAATAAATATGATGATACATTTTGTATTTAGAGTAAAGATACACATTATAAGTTATCTTTGTGTTGTTAAGCCAAAAGGATTCTGACGTGATTTGTGGAAACAAATTGATTTGGTACTTTTTATATCGATATTCTAAATTTTTTTTCTCTTCTTCTATGCGCAGAACGACATCACGGCACTTGGAAGCTAAACCTAGATACTTTTGCGGGTTTGCAAACATTGATTCAACGGTTTGTCGACGCAAACGAAGTATTGGAATTGCAATGTCTTTATGCAATCCAACGATACGTTAAGAAGATTGAGTTTCCACCTGGTAAGTACACAGTGAAAAATACTTAGGTTTATTACTGTATGTATCATTACTTTTTTTTTTAAGTTATGTATTCGTACATGTATTCGTACTTTTATAAGATTGTATGGGCACGGAGACGTGAAGCAAAGTTGACAAAGAATTTTGCATTCTTAATCGCAGGTACCCTCGGTCCCATTATGAACCGATTGTGGATGGACAATGTGATATCAAGCGACGCGTTCCTGACGTGGCAAAAGAAAACTCCGGAAGGAGCGGATGTCGAAGGCCATAGCGTCTCAATCGTCGCACTTACGTCGTTTTTCACCGACCTACAAGAACCAGACGATAATTCTAGTGTCGAGGAATTGTCAACTAGTGCGAATCAGGGCTGTTGACGATATTGTGATCGATTGCACTATCGTCTATTAAAAAGACTCAAATACGCGTTTCCCCGTTGAAAGGAAAATACAACGCTCCGAAATCAAATTGCAGTTGTGTTTTGTTTTCGTAAAAAAAGAAACAAATAAAAACGCAGGAACGCTCCCAAGTATTGAAGGAAAGAAAATATAATAACAATAAAATGACATTTAAATGTATGTAATATAATCGAAAACTCCAACGACTCTTTATCAACAAGTAAAGGGAAGTGAGAGTGCTGACTAAATAAACACACGACAGCTGTATTTGAAATACAGTATACATAATGAAGATAAAGTTTAACTATTAATTATTACAGAACTATGCAAAATAATTATTATATATAATTCAATAAAATGATTCAAAGTTTAAATAAAGCAAAAAAAAAGTGGCTCGAAAATTATTATCGTGTTTCTTATGTAAATTGTCTCTGCAGCGAGGTAGGTCGATCGCTCAATAGAACCGGAATATGCGTTTTTTTTTCCATGCTTGGAACCTGGAAGACAACGTTACTTCCAAACATTATATTAACGCTAATGTTGCGGATCATAAACCGAAGTGCTTGTTACATGATTTAAACATAACGAATTGCAGACATCGGTATATGCAATCTGAGAATAGGTCAATTTTAAGTGGAATAAAAGAAATTCAGAAAGTAAGGAAAAGGAAAACAGCTACCGAGATGAAACCAAGTCTGATACTGACAGCGATATGGTTCTTCCTATTATTGTAACGGAGTAACGGTATATATATATATATATACATATATATAACAGAATTTACTAATTTATATCTTTGCAAATAAGAACTTATAATGTATTATATTATAAGAAGGTACGACGCTCACGTGAAACATGAGATGTGGGATAGAACGAAATAAGTGAAGGATATACAATATATTGTGGAGTTATATAGGATCTGTAATCTAGAACACGTTGAAGTTAGAAAATGAAAGATTACAAATGGTGTGCATATATATACATACATATATGTATACACACACATACATAATAAGGTACTATTTTTTAACACTAGCTATTTATAATCGCAAGGGATAAAAGAGTGTATGCCTGTGCGTGCGCGTGTGTGTACGTTTGAGATAGAGAAAGAGAGAAAGGACAGAGCGCGGCGCGTGAGAACATTGGTATGTGTCCACGTGGCTAATGCTGTAGCGTATTGTATAAAATTGTTATTAAACTGATTTGAGGTACAGCGTTGAGCTCGCCTTTGTTTCGAACGTGCTCGTATAGGAGAGACTGATTTTTCTGTGTGCATGTGTGCGTGTACAGCTATCAAAGAATATTATGTTTATCCGGCAACTATCGTTAAGTGCCGATACCACACGATTTATCGTACCTGTAAAGGTATCCACACTCGGGAAATTGCCAACTGTTTTCGTGAGAATAGACGTATGGGATATACTTTTGCGAAAGTATATCGAGTCTTTGCTTTGGTCTCCCAAAAGAAATCGCATCATCTGTCAGAAGCTTCGATCGACCATTTTCAAATACGAGACACACACTGATAAATCGATTACAGACTTTATTGAAATTACACGAAGCATACCTATATATTGTATGTAAATATATATATTATTATTTAAGTATATTAACAGAGTCTGCAATGTTTCGTAATTTCTTCTCATTGTCTCGGATACGTACGAATTACGAGTGTTCGTTACTTGTTGCGTTTCCCATTGCGTATCCCTTCCCCGAACCTTGTTATCTTATCGTTTCTCGTTTGTCTTTTCTTTCGCAACGATTCTTCTCCAAGCTTATTGCAGATTCACTTTCTTTAGGCAAATTTTATTTCACAAGTAGTTGCAAACAAAAGGAAGGGAACTATACCAAGGATAGATGGCAAATTGGGAATATTCGTTGCCAAGTCGAAAATTTCGCGAGTCCTTATTATAGTTTTCATAGTAAACAGCACATGAAATGCAATTTGTCGAGATCCATGGGCCTTGCCTGGCTCTATCGTAGACCGGAGGATCGTCTAAAGTGCGCGGACGTGGTGAAAGGACCCTCGTCGGCGAACCCCGCTATCTCCTGGGGTATTATCGCGTACTCTTCCACGCTGGTGCACGGTCTGCACATACATTCCAGCGGCGCCTTGGTGATTACCTGATTAACAGATACAATGGTAAATTGGCAATTGCTATGGGTTTCAACTTTTTGTCAATTTTGAATCCGAGCGCCGGCGCCGTATTACTCCGCGTAGGCACGCCGAGCGCCGATTGGCCGCGGTCGGCCGCGCACGAAACAATATGGCCGCGCGAAACTCGTGGTGTCGAACGGCTTTGCTGCGGATCTCCTAATCGGCGTGCGATCGGTAAGAGAGCGAGTGAATCCGCGTTGATGCGAGCCTGTTTACGATCGCTAGTGCCGCTAGCCTTAATGCTGCCGCATCCGTACGCACATCCGTCTCGTGCCCGGTCTCACCTTCCTGAATTTCGTCTCCCCTGCTTTCGCCCGCGGACAGAACAGGGAGACGCTTGCCTCTCTCTCGCCGCTTTCCTGACAGCACATGCAGCTCCTCTCCATTTGCCACATCTTGGACCCGGACACCTGTGCGTGTTGATAAACCAAACGTTTGTTGTATGCGTTTTCTCATGCGCGCCAGCGTTCTCCCTCTCCCCCCCCCCCTCTCTCTTTCTCTCTTTCTCGTCGCGTTAGACAGCGAGAGAGAAAGAGAGGAAAGATAGTGCACTCTGTCAGACGCAAAGTACTTGAGATTTTCGATATCAGATCTTGCGTGTACGCTAAGATTGAGAAAATGCCCCTTTCTTTAGTTTCGGAACCGTTTGCGCAAGATACTATGTGTCATTAAATAAACGCCAACTATTGAGAAGATTTTCAAGTGGCCCTTCAAGATGTAAAACTCTTGTTCACACGCACACACATTGCTATTACCGGTATTGTAAGAAAATGGACTCTTGCACGCTTTGCGAGATTATTAGTGCTAATCCTAATGTTTCTTACCTGCAGGTAACTGCTGCATCTTCCTCTACACGCGTAACTGGGAATCGGCTTTGGAACACAGCCTGGATACTGAAGGAAGTGTATGACACGCGTCGCCTGACACTCGTCCACCCCGACGATCGCTTCTGTGCCTCCATACAACAACCATATCATCACTGCGCACAGTAAGTAGATAAATACTTAATTCTTATTATTATTACAGCTACTTTACACGCAGTTTGCAAGAAATATTTATTCTGCAGCATATTGCTTTAATTTTGCAAAGGTACTGTTGGATGTTAACTTATTTACCAAGGTAATAGAAGAGCTTGCCTCTCGAGTGATACATTGCCTTCCTTTCCTAATACTTTACTGTGCTTGTAAGTCCTACGTCGTAAGCTTTTATACACCACGGGTGGCCATATTTTCCCCTTTCTTCGGCTATATTTTAGCAGTGTCACCATATATCAGAAAATCACTATATGTACATATGTACAGATCGTATGTCCGTAAGAAAATGCTTCCTGAGGTGTTTGCTACATTTATGTATATGTACGTGTATGTAGTG